ACAAGTTTGAGGATGTAGCAGAAGGGATCAGAAAAACTCATCAAGGATAGCAAGGGAGGGTTTCACTGACCATGGACAGACAGATATTAGAAGACACCAAAAAGCTACATGAGAGTAGAACAAGGGGTTCTAACTGTGTTTCTTGAAAGGGAATGAGGACTGAGGCAGCAAGAGGAACACATGCCATTTTGCCCGCCCATGGAGTCCTACAGCCTACATGTTAACTCAACACAAAGCCAGATTCCTGAAACAGAGAGGGGGGAAAAAAGCAGGCATCCTCTCATTTCACTGCTCTCTGCTCATTCTTCGCCTGCTCGCTCCTGGAACAAGTATTTGTAGGGCCAACCAATGAGTCAGTTCCCCAGTTCTGATTCAGATCAAAACCAGCTTCCCAAAACATAATCCCACACATGCTGGCTCTTCTGCAGGAATTAAGATGTCTTAGTGCCTCAGTTCAGAGTAGACCCATCCATATAACAAAGACCTTTATATTTTTAATCTATAAGCAAGATTAGGAAGTAAAAGCAAAATTTTCATACTGTTATCACACTCCCTGAACCTAAACACTTGCTTTCTTCAGAAAGGAAAGCACATAATTTGTCCAAATGACTGATAAGATGGCTTTTAAACACGGCACTCTAAAACCTAAAAACCAAAAAGTAAGTGTGCTTGGAGGAACTGATTTGGCAGGACATATTTTAAAAAAATCAAAATACCCTTTTTAGTGTCTGAAGCCCCAGATTATTATGCACAAGAGAAAACAGCTCAAGTGCAGACAGATTTGAAAATTTTCTACTTATATTTATACTGGGCATTGTGAATCTGGTTAGATATGTCAGCTCTCTCAAATCATATTTATAAAGCAGCAGCAGACCATTACTTCTGAACCTTGGCACATCATGCATGATTTTTCATGAAGGAAGATGCCTCAAAACTTGTTAAGGGAAATTTGCTGTCCTAGTTCTCAAGAAATACACAAACAATTAAATCTTTTCTAAATAACTGTCACCAAAGAAAAGCAGTGGTCCTGTTTTAAAAGCATGAAAGAGGAAAAGGAACTAGGAGACAGACTCAAGATATCATGACAGTATTCAAACTTCAGTTGAGTGTTTATACTTCTCTACAATCAATCCAGATTGTTTCCTGCTAGTAAAATGCTACAAGCAACATTTACATAGTAAAAACAGCTGAAGTGAAGTAACAGCATACAATTAGCCAAAGCACAGAGAGGCATTCTTGTATTATATTGCTTTTCTCCCTTGAAGACACTAGTAATAAGTTCAGACATTTTACTGCCCAAGGCTATTTTCATCTTCGCAATTTTTAAACCAAGCATGGCAGCACTTAAGAAATTTCCAATCCTTTGCACACATTTCTTAGTCATCAAAGGCTCCCTTCCTGCTTGCACTCTAATTTCTCCAAGGCAGTTAACCACCACTAACTATGGGTGGAGCTACATTTGAACACGCTAGCTCTGGAAAGTTTAGAGAAGCAATGAAAATGCTGGCAATGGTATTTACGCACTTGCCAACACTCACTTTTTCCATCTCTAGCCTGATTACTGCCTTGTGCAGTTAAAGCTTGCTAGAAGTTTAAAAACTTGTGTCTATGATATGTGGCAAACGTTTCAGTGCTGGTCTTCTGCAACCACAAAAGCCTGTAAATTAAGTATTAGATTTCAACTTAACACTATTTTTTCTCTTTCATCACATAGCACTTACAGACTTCCAAGGAATGAGAGTAGAGAATGCCTGACCTATTGGGAAACAACCAGAGAACTACTCCTTCATTTTGCCTATATGAAGAGACTGAGGTGGGCCCTTGCTATGACACATCATGTGGATGTACAGGGAGATTTTTGTATTGCCAAAGAAAAAATTCCTCCATGTATGAAACCACTAATGATTTACCCGAGGCAGAACTGAAGGTGAACAAGGAGGAGTAAAGAGGGAAACAGCTGTGCCTGTTTGAAGCTGTATCAGGCATTAAGCAGGGAGCTGCCCCCTCCCCTGGCACTGGTTTGCACCACAGTGATGAGAACGTGGGCAGCAGTGCAGCTGCACCACTTCACACCATCTGCTGGGCCAGCAGTTAGAGCCTCCAGCATTTCTCCACTGAAATTCACACCTGCTGCACTGCACACACCACAGCAAATACACAGAATGACAGAGACCAAGGAAAATAAACTGCAGGTTTATGCAAAGCCTGACAAGCAGATACCTGCAAAAAACTGTCCTGATTTCATGCAGGAACAGAATTAACTCTGAGCTGAGGGTCTCCAGGTTTGCTGTGACTCCAATATATTTTCTTTCAGGCAAGCATAGAGATGGAGAGTAATTACCATGACTAAAGTAACCCAGAACTGAAATCCCAATAAAACACATTTGGAACATGCCTGTGGGTCACCCATCAGGCAGCCTGTCTGCCATTTTAAACAACTGTAAAGACTGTTGATGCTCCTTGCAGAGCACAGACATCTGTCCCTACTCCTTTATGAATGCCTTTTCTGCTGACAAAAAGCTTGATCCACTCCTTTGTCCCTGGCATGGCAGGGTGGCTGGAACTACATGACCTTCAGGTTCCTTTCAACCCGAACAATTCCTTGTTTTCCTCTTAAACAATTCAGTTACTCACGATGAAGAAATTATACACTGAACTACTTTACAAAAAAAGAAAGTAAATTAACCAAGGAAAAGTAATCTGCTTTTTCTCTTTCAGTGCCTTTCTGAGACATTTCAGGCTTGGTTTCATTGTTGAACCACCTGTGTAAACATCAAACTAACACCCTGCACAACACATTCCATTTACAGCTCCTGACCTCTTCCAGAAGCCGCAGCTTTTAAAGCAAAAGGCATTTGAGGGTGTGTGCAGCTGACGAGAACAGCTGAAAACTGTTTTCTGTTCAGTGCTAGGCAGCAAATCCACTACTGTCAGTTCATACAGCAGGCTCTTCATCTGCCTTTCCAAGGGGGACAGAGAAAACAGCAGAGAGGAATAAACAAACCACTCCGGGCAGTGTTGTTTATGCTCTGGGTCTCTGTAAGCACGGGGAATGGCACTTGGCAGCATCCTGACTACAGTACCTGACCCAGAGCAGCCAAAACAAAAACAGGCACAGTGAAACGTGGATAAACTCTACATACCAGCTCTGGACTTGGGAGAGAAGGGCTGGGGAGGGGATTGAGCCCACCTGTGCTGTCAGCAGGCTGCCACCAAAAGACACTGGCAAGCAGCACACCACACGCATTTTAAATTAGGTTTTCACCTAGGATTATAATTTCCTACAAAAATGTTTTCCACCATTAAAAAGGCAGCTAAAGGACAAGCATTACCCGAGCATGAACTGGGGAAAAAACCCAGAACTGGCACTGTATTTGTGTGCTTTTTTGTTTAAGTAAAACTTGTAGCCAAGGACATCGCTCCCATTATTTAAAAAAGCTACAAAAACTGAAACACACAATACTAAAATCTGGGATGTAACTTTTCACATTGAGACACATTTAAAGCCACATTTCAACATGAAAAAGGGAGATACTACACAAAAACATTTTTAAACCCCTCAGATTGAAAGAAAAAATTAGCAATGAAACCTTATTATTCATATTTGATTTGCTACTGCCTTGATTCTGCAGTTCCAAGAGTCTGTATTATCAATTTATTCAGCATCATTGCACAATGGAAGGTCTAAAATATACTGCCAAACAGTAAAGTTTTAAAACAAATTTAAAAATTCAAATAGGACTTTAGAAAGTAATTACATAATTTTAAAAGTGGCCTAAGACACAAAATATTACATAAACATAATTCCTACACAACTATTTCAATGTTTTGAAGGTTTGTTGGCAGACATTCCCCCTTTCAGATTTTAATGAGAGAATATTTTTAAACTAATCTTTTCATTAAAAATTATCATCTAGGAAACAAAACCTAAGTTTCTCCAGAATTCTTGGCCTATAATCTCCAAAATAAGCGAACACCAGGAACGGCATTTAGGAAAATGTTGTTTGGCCTTAAACATCACAACCACAGGATGTTTCAAGAGTATAAAACGAAGTGAACCTCTCCCATCTCTGAAAAAAAAAATAAAAGAACCAAACTTTTACTGTCCAGGATCCAATTATAGAGAAGATATTTTTAAAAGCTGCTGACTGTATTTAAATAGCTACATAAAAGGCAAGCACTGTGTTTCAACAATATCACAGTCCTGCTGGGAAGGACTTCCATTCGATGGAGGTATCAGGTTACACAGGTTTTATTTAGTATGTTTCTGCAGTCTTTTGGATCATACTCGACTGCGGTCCAGCCTAACAGGAATGCATTTTGGTCTAAGGGACTACATACGTACGTGAAAGACAGTTACTTTGTTTTTAAGAATATCTAAGGAGCCCTTCCTCTGAAAAAGGAAGTTAAGGTCCTTGACGCTCGAGAGGAGTTACAGCGTTCTCCTTCCCCGCTCCCGCCCGTCAGCGAGGCAGGTTTGGAGTACACAGCACTTCTTACTGCACCTCTGTGTCGAGCCCATCCCCGGCACTCGGCACCAGGCACACGCCGAGGATGCGCCACTGCCTCCCCGCGCCCCGCTCAAACCATCAGCGCGACTTCCAACAAACACCCTCAAAGGAGGACCCTCCCTCCCTCCCCCCCGTACGGTCCCGCTTCCCGCTGGGGATGACAAAGCTGGGAGCCCAACCCCAAAGCACAACCCGCTACAGGAACTGGTTATCAAGTGTGGAAACCACCCAGCGTCACCCATCTGTAACTCCTGCAGCATTCACCAGATGGGAGAAGACTCGTTCTTCACCTGGCACCTGTACCTGCTCAAGGAAAGGGAAGGGGGGGGGGGGGGGGGGCGGCAAAACCAACACTTTGGCGCACGGTTCCGGAACGCCACCCCAGACAGGCTCGGCACCGCCGCAAGTGATGCGATTTTGCAACCCACATCAGCGGGTGGCACCCGGAGCGGTGGCGTGGCGCAGGGGGGCAGGAGTCGCGACACTCACGAGATGTAGGCGGGGTAGGCGAAGCCGATGATGTTGCAGAGCAGGGACGCGCCGTATCCCACCACCAGGTACACGGCTACGACGCCGAGGATGCCTGAGGAGAGAGCAAAGAACCGTCAGAGCCTGAGGGACCGGGGCCAGGGCGCGGCCGCCCGCGGGGAGCCGGCGGGGCGGCGGCCGGCGCTCACCGGTGGCGATGTAGGTGCGGCTGACGCCGGTCTTGCTCTCGATCCGCTCGAGCACGGCAGTCATGCAGTTCTTCTCGTGTAGGAAGCGGTCGAAGCGCTGCCGCATCGCCGCGGTCATGGCGCTGGTGCCGCCGCTCCGCGCCGCAGCCCCGCGCTGCCCGCGGCCCCGCCCCGGCACCCAGCGGCCGGCCCCGTGGCGCCGCGCCCGGGGGCGGCGGCGAGCGCCCGGGAACCATCTTCCGCCGGCAGCGGGCCCGCTCCGAGCCCGCCCCTGCGCGAAATGGAGGGCTGGGGGCGCGCCCTGCCGGGGCGGCCCGGGTCCCGGTCCCCGGCGGCTTTGGGGGGCCCCGGGCGCTGGGCGGGATGCGGCTCCGGGCGCGGTGTGCGCAGTCCGTGTCCCCTCGCGGCCTTCAGCCCTTCTTGTCCCGCCGGCAGGGGTAGATTTTTAATCCTGGAGGGGGGCCAGGGACATGGGTCCCTGCAAGGATGGTGCGCCTTGTTCAAGGAATCAAACAGACAAGACCCCTGTGTCAAGACAAGGGGAGGAGGCCAGGCACGTAGCCGGCTCCAATTGCCTACAAGTGCCAGAATGTCCCCCCACCCCCAAAATCAGCGCGTGATACCATACACGGTGAGCAAAAGTCAGAAACAGATGGTAGGCATCGATGTGATGTAGAAGAAATATTATGACAATTTACGGGTGCCCAAAAGGCGCATGTGACCGCGCCGAAGGCAGCAGCGCCTTGCTGTAACTGTACCCTGGAATTTATGGTGTGTGCAATGTTCTTGCCAACTAAATCTAATTTGTTGGCTGTGATATAGTCCTGGAAACTTCCTCGGCTGGACTGACTCTTCTGAGCAACTCCTCTGCATCTGACTCAGCATTACAACCAGTACTGGGACTCCTTATGCCCTCCTCAAATCTGGGTTGCTTCTGAGTGTGCCAGAAAATACTAATCAGTCTTCTTTTGCATATGTCTTATCTTCACCTAAAAAGTTTTCAAATGTAAACATCACATTGTGCTTTGTAGCTGTCAGCTGCGGGGAAGGCATCTTGGAAATAATTTAAATTTAATTGCTGAAATACCTTTTCTTCTTTCCAGTAACTGTCTTAATAAAGCAGAGGTGAGGAGAAGAGGGAGAATAATATTTAGTCCATAACTGTGGTCAAAAGGTTTGTCCTGTAATTGCAACTTTTTTTTTTTTTTGATATAAGGTTTCTGCTTTTTTTAATGGAATAAAAAGATAGAGTTATGTAGTGCAGTCTTCTACTCAAAGTATGGCTAATGGTAAAGGTAGATCCTGATGCTCAGGATTTGGACCCCTAGGGTCTAAAAATGTTCATGGATGGAAATTCTGCAGCCTCCTTGGACAGCCCTTCACTATGCTTAACTGCAACCAAAGAGATATTTTCCCTCACATTTGAAAGGGAGATGTCCTTTGATGACATATTGTGACTATTTCATCTTGTCCTTTGCCCTGATTTTTTATACTTCTGAGGAGGGTCCAGTTCAGTGTAACCTCCAAACAGAGAGCTGAGGGTAGCAATCAATGTCCCCACTTAGCCTTCACTTCTCAGAGGAAGCACAACAGTCCCAGATCCTTGACCCTCCTTCTATGCCATGTGTTCCAGCCCCTTCCCTTTCCCTTCTTTGTCTGCTGGATCCATCTGATATGCCTTGGGTTTACAGAGAACGCGGGGGACTGTTGAGACTGGCATTAGATAGCATGAAGGGATATACTGATGCTATCAAATTAATAAAGATTAGTAACAGTGCCAGATAGCCTTTAAGAAATGGTCCTTTACAAGATCTGTGAGAGGACTAATTCCTGGCTTCAAGCAGAGCAAAATTCTACACCTTAATTTAAAATGCAGCAATATTAAAAATTTTAGCAACTCAACTGAGATTGCCTTTTTGTCCAGTATATGTCGTGTAGAGACTCCCTGCCTTATGAGGACATTGTAATGTTCTAATGTGCCTAAGGGTTAAAAGTGAAACAAGGTAACCATCACCAAAGGTTGCAGAAAGCAGTGTCACTCTCATTTTACTTATGATTATGCTGGAATGTGGAGAAAGTACAGGACTTGCTAAATTCTGAATAAGTAATTCTCAAACTGAAGATTTGCAGACTTAGATCATTGTTTGCAGGAGTGCAAAAGCCTCATGGAAACTTATTTTGGTCTTCAGGGGTTTGTTTCTCTCCTATGCTCACTCTCTTTGCATTTCATAAGGTCCTTCTAAAAACTTGGGATTTTGTCATCATACCTATACGACTGAAGGACTGAGGAGGAAAGCAGGCAAGACACAAAAGTATTATAGAAAAGAGAATTTAATAAGAATGTTAAAACCAACTAAATTTCTGCTGGGTTTTCATAACTCACTGTCTACTTTTTTTGTTCTTTTATTTAAAACTAAACTATGAAACATGGCATCAATAGCTGCTCCAGCTGATCTGTGCTAGACAAATGTTTTCAGTGCACTACAGTGTGCTGTGTAAACTCTTTATAGCAGTAAGGTGCATAACTGTTTTAAGATATCAGTGCTACAGGGAAAGAGAAAAATGAATTTTAGAAGAAATAAAGATAGGGTACTATACTAAAAAATATCAAGAGTCTTCCAGCTCAATATGGAGAACATGCTGTATTGGGCAGTGGTCCTGCATGTTCCCACAAAAACCTGAAAATATGAATGGGAAAGAAATACTGTAACTTGAAAGATCTAGAGAGGAAGGTTAAAGGCATATTGCATGACCTCCTCAAGGAGCTTCTGCAGGAGAGAAAGAAAACTAGAAAAAACTAGCAAAACTACCCCATGGAGGATCAAGAGCATAAGTGCCTTTCCACCTATACAGATTTGAAAATAGTAGTGTCCTATACACCAGAATCGAAGCACATGCAACAGTAGCCCATTTACCCAGGCTACCCAGCCATTATCTGTAGGTTGCCATGAATTACCAGAGCTGACATCTAAAGTCACAAGCTGCAGGACACACCTGGGCTGGGAGAGTAATTGTACCTTCCGAATGGCAGGCTGCCTATCCTGCCTACTGAAGGTTGTGCTATGAAACAAACTAATAGAAAACAGTGTATTGCAGGGTTATGTCATTTTAACGATACTCCTGATATATAATGAAAATTATATTCTTCATTTTCCCTTTTTTTGTCCTAAATTTTTCTCTACCTTTATTTTTCCAGTTAATACAAATTCATATCTTTATTTTTTCTCTTTGATGTTTTAAGTTATTTAATCTGATTTTAGGATCTGCCCTAGTCACTAGATAAGTTCTCTTACTTCTTTAATTGTCTTCAACACACTTCAACTGTTTTTTCACCCTGAGTTGAAGCAGTGGTCCACTGTAACAATCAAGCTAGAGTTAAAGGTCAGCTCATGGCTTTAGCACAGGTGTGTACTTCATAGACTGACAGAATGGTTTGGGTTGGAAGGGACCCTAAAGCTCATCTCATTCTGACCCTAAAGCTCACCTCGTTCTGCTCCACCTGCCATGGGCAGGGACACCTCCTACTAGACCAGGTTGTTCAGAGCCCTGCCCAACCTGGCCTTGAACACTTCCAGGGAGAGGGCATCAGCAACTTCTCTGGGTAACCTCTGCCAGGGCCCCACCACTCTAACAGTTAAGAGTTTTTTTCACAACAGCCAATCTAAACCTACTGTCTTTGTTTAAAACCATTCTTCCTTGTCCTGTCATTACATGCCTTTGCAAGAAGTCTTTCCCCATCTTTCTTGTAGGCTCCCTTTAGGTACAAGAAGGTGATATAAGCTCTCCCTGGAGCCTTCTGTTCTCCAGGCTGAACAGCCCCATCTCTCTCAGCCTGTCTGCGCAGGAGAGGTGCTCCAGGCCCCTGATCATCCTTGTGGTCCTTTGGACTCACTCCAGCAGGTCCATGTCCTGCTGATATTGGGGACCCCAGAGCTGGACTTCCTCCAACAGTCTGCTTGACTTGGAGTTTGGATGGATGATCACATACCAAGGGGTGTGTGTGTTACCTGAGCCATCTGGTTAAGCCTGCTTGAGATCAGTGTTGCACAAACAAACCCTGCTGTCTTGACCTGTAGCATGTCATGTCATGTATGTACAGTAATGCACATGTTATTGCCATTAAATTAATTATTACCTTGCAAACTCTTAGATCATAAATTACTTGATCTGATTATGAAAGCACTGTAATGTTAGGAAAAGCCTGGTACAGAGTCTTCTGAACTGGCTCACCACAGGTCTCTATACATAAAGTAACCAAATGATCACTGGCTTACCTTTTTCTGTGTGTTTCCTATCTCCTCTGCAAGGTTCAGAGAACCTCTCCAAGGTTTAGGTACCATTATTCATCCAAGTCTGCTAGTGACTGCATCTTATTAGTTATTACAATGTCTTGTGCATTACCACAAATGGGTGGTCCTTATGCTTCTCACTTAATAAAAACCCTTCCAGACTATTTTCAGATCTTTATGGTTCCCTTTCCTTTACAGTCAGGAAACTGAGATTAACACAGATTTAAGCCTAAATTTTCATTAACTTTTGTGTTGTTGATTTGCTTTACCTAAAACTTGCTTCAACATATTTTAAGTGTTTATGTTTCTCCACATGGGTTATATAGGACTGGTTCTACAGTATATCACTGTCCTCCTGATGGTCTGTGCTAGCTCTTCACTCACCTTTTACCATGTAACACATGGAGCAAAGCAGGGGAGTAGTGCTTGCATTGTCTCCTTGCATACAAATTTGACCCAAAATATCAGCTTGTAGCAACTGAGGGTGCTGAGCTCATACTGCTTACAGAAGGTATTGCTTTCCAGTCCACTTACCTCTCACCTCCATCCTTTGTTGGAGATTTTAGTACAGAATCTGTTTATTGAAGGGCTGAGTAGAATTAATGCCTTTTTCTGATTACTTAGGCAAGCTGAAGTCTGCAATCTCTTGACTGCAGACTCTCAAGGTTCTGCCTCAGTCTTTATTCTAATTCACATAAATTGCAAATAAATGTTTATTGAGTTCTATTTATTGAGATTTATTGAGATTTAATGAGATTTTTTGAGATGTGGCTGGTGCTTGGTATCTGAGAGTGTCTTCCTATCCAATGCAATTCTCACTTTGGTGAGATTCTCCAAGCAAACTTTATCCACTTTCAGCTCTTGTTTGTCCTATGCAATCTAACTCCTTTTCTTTGATCCCTTTCTGAATATGTAAATGGCTGGCCCCTGTTTTATTTTCTGCCACCTTGCTCAGTGCAAACAGACAACATTATTTTCCAAATATCTTATTGTTGCCTTCCGGACTGCCACGGCTGACTGATAAGCAGTGATTAAAAACCAGTTTGACTACATCACTGGGTGATTCTGCACATTGATTGGAACTGTGAGATGTTGTGGGTACTGAGTGAGCATCTCTGTGTTGCCTGTGCTCTCTGTATGCCTGGCTTCCTACTCTCTTAATTGCCCTTGAAGCTTGACAAGAGCTACTTTGCCACCAAAGCATGCAAGTTCCATTCCTGGAGGATTTCTCTTTGGGGAAATATAACCTGAATGTGTCAGCTTTAACTCAATTTGCTTCACGTGAGCTAACGGGTAAAAGGAGTGCATGTTAGTTTATTAAAAAAAATTAGAAAATGCACAAGAAAAAGAAACTACAATGATACACAACTCCAAATCCTACCTATGAACATATTTTTTCTTATGTTCATGTTCTAGCTAACCTAGTCTTCCAGCAATGTCTCCAAAACGGAGCAAGCAGAAATGTTCAAGCATGTCTCTCCTCTCTCCCCTGTCCTGTAACATTGTCTACAAATTCCATTATGTTCTTGAGGTATATCTTAAAAATATATCTTGAGCGTGTTAAGGATCTGTATATCCAAGAGTGATTTGTACCTTAGGTAACATTTGACACATTTACTTCTTCATTGTATCAGGTTGGGTATTTTTCAGAAACCGTGACAGGGCTAAAAGTACCATAGATGGCATGAGATGTCAAAGTGCATTTTCCGAGCCACTTTTTTTCCTCTCTATCAATTTTAGGAGCTCCTGGTACCAAATCCACATGGGAGATGGGGACTAGGACATGGGGAGTAGTTTGTGAAAGTAGCAAAGCAGGGAAAAACAGTAGCAGCAAGAGTATCCCAATACTTGAAATAATCCAGATGATACAACTTTTAAAGAACTTCCTACATCTACTCTTTCTGGTAAAAACAGAGCTTTTTGGATTCCTGAGCAATGGGATTGATCAGTTTTAACTCAGATCATTCCAGCTGTCCCTCTGTCTAGACATATCAATAGTACTGTTAGTGGACTTTATTTTCCCTAACAAAGTACTGCTGTAAGTCAGCGTTAAAGTGATCCACCCATCACCTCCAAGCATCACAGCAATAAAGGGAGTGGAGCAAAAGTCACTGTCAAATACACTTAGTGGAGTTTGCTCATGAGTGAGACACCAATATATGTAAATACTACTGCTTCAGCACCTACTAAGACTGGACTCCAAAGTCGTCTTACAGTATCATTCTTTCTATACCTGGTTGAATGCCATTTCCTTATACTTCTGGAGCTATCATGGAGCCTCCTACTCTTTGTTATATTTCTGGAAAGGAGGCAAAGGATAGACCTCTCACTTTCTGTGCCTGTCAGTAACTGAACTGTGAATGTATATACTTTTTATGTCTTCAGGGTAATGCTGGACTGGTGTTTCTGTGCACTAGTTTTGACTAGGGCAGAGCTAATTAGCTAGTACGGAGCCGTGTTTTGGATTTGTGCTGAAAACAGTGTTGATTATATTCCATACCATATAGCATCAAAATCAGGCTATAAAGCTGCGGGGAGAACAAAAGGGGAGCATTCAGAGTGATGGCATTTCTCTCCCCCAGTCACTGTTACACATGATGGATCCCCATTCTGGAGATGGCTGAACACCTGCCCCGTCACGGGAAGCAGCAAAGTAATTTCTTGTTTTGCTTTCTTGTGTGTGCATCTTTTGCATTCCCTATAGTTTAATAGGCAATACTAATAACTTGCTAGACAATTTCGTCTTTATCTCAACCAACGAATTTTCTCATTTCGCTGATTTTCTCCCCAATCCCGCTGAGGGAAAGAGCAGCCAGACGGAGCTCAGGCACTTTGGCGAGCAAAGGAAGGGGAAGAACAAGAGGAGAAATGCGTCAAATACTCGCTGCAACTTAAAATCAGAGGCTGCAACGCCGGCCGCAGCGGAGAGAGCAGCGATACCCTCTGCCGGCAGGGAGACTCCTCCGGGAATGCCACCGGAGCCGGTTCGGTTTCGCAGAATCACAGAATTATTCCCTTTCGGAGATCATCCCCTCCAGTGCCCCCGCCACCACGGCACGGTCAGCTGGAGCAGGTGACACAGGAACAAAGCGTCCAGGAGGCTTTCAATGTTTGCAGAGGGAAAGTCCCCGCCCGCCCAGGCAGCGGCTCCAGAGCTCTGCCACCCCTCAAACGCGACGAAGTTCTTCATATTGCGGTGGGACTTGCTGTGTTTTAGTTTTGGGCTATTGCTGCTCGTCCTGTCGCGGGGCACCACCCTCCTGGCACCCGCCTTGGAGATCTTTACATGCATTAATTATTGTAATTAATTTACATGCATTAATGAGATCCTCTCTCAGTCTCCTCCGGACTAAACAGGCCCAGCTCCCGCTGCCCTTCCTCACAAGGCAGAGATGCCCCACACCATCCTCATCTTCATGGCCTCTGCTGGACCCCCTCCCGTGGCTCCCTGTGCTGAGGAGCCCAGAGCCGGACACAGCACCCCAGCTGTGCCTCACCGGTGTCCCTGTCCCGCGGTCCCGGTGTCCCGTTCCTTGACCCGGCGCGCCGCGTTATCAGAGCGCTCGCAGTGACCCAGCCCCGCGCCGCCCATTGGCCGCTCGCGATCACCTGAGCACGCCGGTCCCGCCCCGCGCCCCGCCCCATTGGCCACCGTTCCGCCAGTGGCGGGCGCCGATTGGCCCCGGCAGCCGCCGCTCCACCGCCCTCCCCGCTGCGCGGCCCCGCCCTCGCCGCTTCTCTGCGCCCCGGCCTCCGCCGCGTCGGGATGAGCCGCGCTTCCCCATGGAGACCAAACGGGCCGAGATCCCCAGCAGCGTCCTGGACGACCTATGCAGGTACGGCCGTGGGGCGGGGGCGGCCCCGGGGCTGCCGTGCCGCTGCTGCCGGAGGGCGCGAAGGGCGCCTGACCCTGCCCGCGCCCGGGGCGCGGGGCCCGGGAAGCTCGAGACGCTGCGGGGGTGCGGGGCCGCCCGGGCCGAGGGGCGGCTCTGGCCGTCCCGCGCCCACCGGGAGGCGGAAGGACGAGGCTCGGCCCGTTCCCCCCGAGCCCGAGGCTCCGCCCTCCCCATGGAATCCGTCCTGGAAGGGCGGGAAGGCTGCCCGCGGCGCCCTCTGGACCGGGTGTGGGGCTGCCCCGGCGGCGGGCCGGGAGCCGGGCGCACGGTGGAAGTGGAAGAACATTGTTTGTGGGGATTTCTTGCGCGGTTTGGGCCGGAAAAGGTAGAGCTGCGTCGGCGGTTTTTGCGCAGGTGAAAGAAGAGCTGGGAGCGTGGGGCTGGCGTGACGTGTAGCCGAGCACTGAGGTGGTACTCGGTGCTCCGAGGTCTGGTTTCGTTGGAAGGGGGTGGGAAGCTTTGGAAGGGGTGTCAGGGAGTCCCTTCTAGTGAGTTACCTCTGCTGGAAGGGAACGTGCCAGCGGGCGGAAAGGGAAGAGCCACAGGGAAACCTTGCGGTGTGAAGCTGCCCTCTCCTGCTTGTCCGTTCTTTCAGAGTGAAATGCTTTTCTTGTTCCAGGGGCTGTGCGTTTGAATTTTCATAAAGCGTGGATTCTCTAAAAGGGCCAAGTTGCGTTTTCCCCCCTACAGTCTCAACTTCTGATCGTCTGTGGTGTAGCCCTTAAAACTTTGTAATTTGTCTGTCATCCCCAGAATGTGATGACACAAACTGCATGTGATATTTGTCATGAAATAATCCTTCTATTTTACCACCTCCAAGAGACTCCTTATGAGGTATTTATGTAAAAGAGGGAAAGGTTAGTGAAGAGGAAAGACACCCCACTTACTGTAATTACGGTTTTCAAGTGAGTGAAAATGTTTAGAAGTGAGAATACCACAGGAGGGTAGAACTGTCCTGCTCAGTATTGTTTTGCACTTGTCTAATGCAAGAGTCAGTTTCTGATAGACATGTAAATTTTCAATTCCCGAAATCTGGCCTCTGAAGCATGCTTGTGTTTCCATTGTGTCTCCTTTGGGCTCCCTGCAGAGAGAGGAACTTGCTTCTCAGATCCCTGTTCACATGTGACACAAGATTTAAGACTTCTTCAGAAAATCTAGAGAGGAATTCCAGTTATTACAAAACCGATACAGCCTATTTTAGTGTCCCTTCCGTGGGGTGACTGATAGAAGGGCACATGAGTGTTTGAATCTTACATTGTGATAGGATCAGTCCCAGTGTCTTACCATGTTTCTTTGAGATACTGTCATCTTCTGTCTTAAAAATGGTGTTTTGTATTGTAATTCTGTTGATGTTATAAACGTGTTATAAAAATAGCTGTAGTTTCCTACATTCTTCAATCTATATGTGATATTAGTGGGAATTTTGCTAGAAAGTGATTTTTCCTACTCAGTTACTGGGTATTGTTAAATAATAAGTTACAGGTATCCAGTCCCTATTTTTCATGCTGCCTTGTGCTATGGAGTTGTTTAACTGAATAAAGAAGTGGATGTGCAGGGACATAATGTGGGTTTAGCAGCTTCTTGAAACTTCCTTTGTCTTGTAAACGAGTACTTTTACCCTATCTTTTGACTTCCAGACTGTGGTTGGTTCACCTTGCTCAAGTGGCCAGATGCTCACCCAGCCACACACACAGAAAAAAAAATTTGAAAAAGAGATTTTTCTGCATCCTTGTTTTTCCGAGGGAAACCTCATGTCAGCTTCATCCTTTCACTCTCTACTCTCCTCTACCTCCTCCATTGCGAACAGCTTGGGATGGGGAGTGGGGGTTGTGGTCAGTCTGTAACAATCCTCTCTGGGGCTCCTTCACTCTTATGCTTTGCCCCTGCTCCTGCGGGATCACGCCCACGGGCTAAGGGTCCTTCAGGAATGTCCATCTGCTCCAGCACGTGATACTCCACAGGCTGTAGGATGCACATCTCTTCCTTTTTCTTCTCCAGCTTTGGTGTTTGCACTACTGTTTCATGCTGGTTTTTTCACTTCCTCTGCCTGTCTGGTATTTTTGTCCTTATAATATACTTCCTCACAGGCACCACCATCTCAGCTGCTGCCTCCAGCTATGTCCCACAGTGTGTCCAGCATTAGCCCATCACTACCAGCACCTGGCAGCTGCACCTAGAGATGCCTGTTGTAGCTCTTCAGTCACTCCAAGTAACTTAGAAGTTAACTTTTTGATTAATAAGTATCATTGTACTTGGCTTTGCTCTTGTTCTCTAAGCCTAATCCCTGGCATATTCTCACTTTTCTTTGATACTGCTGCATATTTTATCTTTAGATTTATGTTCAGCTGCAGTGCTGGGGCAAGAAAATATCATCAGGTAGATGTAATGTAGGCTTTTAAGTTTTTATCTTTTAGCTGCTAAGCTTTTATCTTTTAGCTATCTTTATAGATAAGAGCAGAGCCTTCAAAAGAAATTGGGAGTGGTAGTGCCAATTGAAAATTGGGAAGTGGTAAAATGTTGATGTGAATAAGATTATTTATGCAAGGGAGAATGATGGAGTGCTTTGGGTTGAAGGGACCTTAAAGATAATCTCATCCCAGCCCCTCTGCCAAAAGCAGAGATGCCTTCTAGACCAGGTTGCTACTGAACACTTCCAGGGACAGGCCATCCACAGCTTCTCTGGGCAGTGTGTGCCTGTGCCTCATGACCCTCACAGTGAAGAATTTTTTTCCTGTTACCTAAACCTTCCCTTTTTCTCTTTCCCCCTTGTCCTGTCATTATGACATAGTAAAAAACCTCTCTCCAGTTCTCTTTACCCCTCTGACATCCTGGAAGGCCTCAGAGAAGACTTGCTCCAGCAGGTCCCCATCCTGTTTTATTGGGGTTCCAACAGCTGGACACATTGCTTCAGGGGAGGTCTCACCAGAACAGAATAGAGGGTGAGAATCACCTCCCTCAGTCTGCTGTGCGCACTGTGTTCCATCAAAAGAATGGGCTGGGAGCTCACAGTGTCAGCTCACGTCAAGATTCTCATCCACCAGCACCCCAAATCCTCCTCCCCAGAGCTGCTCTCCATCCTTTCTCTGATCAGACTGTGTTTACATTGTGCTTGGGATTGCCCCAGCCCAGGCACAGTGCCTTGCACTTGGCTGTGTTGAAATTCAAGAGGTTCACAGAGATTCCCTCTCAGGCCTGCCAAGATCTTTAAGGGTATCTGACCAAGACCCTTTTTCCGTGTGAAAATCGGATAGGAAGATGAGAAATAAAAGCATAATAAATAAATAAAGCATACAAGGCTACAAACTGAAAAGAAGAATGGTAAGGAAGGCAGTAGTGAAAGCCAAACCTGGCCGCTGGTTGATGACAGGGAGTATAGGGATGTTCATTCCAGCAAGTTTATCTGAGTATGGACCTACTCCTGGAAAACAGGAAAAAAGTGGAGGAATGAGAATGAAAAAATATTTAGACACGGACCTAAGAAATCAGAAGTAGACACAATGACATGAAACAAACCTGTTAATTGCACTAATTGACCAACTGCCAAGAAACCACAGGCATCACTCTCAGGAATATCAGCCTGGCCTTTGTATCTGGTAGGGCTTCAGACCTGGGGGGATCCCACACGCTGGGTTGAGAGGAGTGCCACGGGAGAGGAGAAGCAGGGGAGGACAAAGGAAGGATAGGCAGAAAGGGATATAAAAGGCTGGCTGTAAAACTGGGCAAGTTAGTAACTTCTCTGTCTGACCCTTCTGCTCAAGTGTCGCAGACTGTCCTATCTTACATCTTCTTAATAAATATTTGTTTTTGTCTGGGTAATTCCACTCTCTACGCTCTGTATATGTGTGCTCCAAGGATGAAGTGACAGCTGCTGATGGGAGCTGGGCAAAGGTGTCAGCTGCTGGAGTGAGGGAGCAGGTCTCAGTGCCATCCACTCCCAGGAGGGGGTCTCAGCTCGCAGTGTCTGGGATGGCGATGAGGAGTGTCCTGGAAGCCAGCTTCTGTGGGGGAGGTGGTGTGAGTGAGGGCAGTGAGGGGCAGAGCACCCGCAGCTGCAGCAGGACTGTGTCACCGCCGTGCGCTGGGTGGGAGGGGGCAGGTGCCTCACCCAGACCTGTCCCCTGTGCACGTGTTCTCTATAGCAAACTTCAAACTGGGCCATCTGGTGGGGCAGGACCCATGAGAGGGGTGTGAGGGTCTGGGATGTGGGCAGGGCTACGGGGTGGAAAAGGAGACCTGTGCTGGTACTTGGGGGACCTGTGAATGTGCCTGGAAGCCTGGGGAGTGTCAGGTGTGTGCCTGCAGCTGTGACCTCCTGCCCCTGTCCTTGGCCAGACTGCCTTAGAGAGGCACCCAATTCTGAGATCCTGTGACAATTCATACTTGTCAGATTTTAAGTAAAGATACACTGTTTCTGCTTAGACCAGTGATATTATGCACTTTGGGAATTCAGCTGGTTGCGCTCAGGAGCTGTGTCAAAGATCTCCATCAAATTATTTAAGTTCAGTGGGGTGTACGACCATAAATTTCTAAAAAGGAAGTTCTGCTATTGATACAAATACATAAATAAATAAAGCCTCTTTTGCTTTACTAAAATGAGCTATGACACAGTGCTGCTTGAACTTTTATCTCAGTAACTCTGTCTGTGTGCCAGTATCTGGGCTAAACCCAGATTCAGACTGAGGAAATCTGTAGGATCATATTGAATTTTAAAATCTATGTAAATTAATAGTTTACTGTGGTTTTAAGTGAAAACATATAACTATGTTCAACTTATATCCTGAAAAAAATAGCACTGAAATGTCTTATCAGAGTTTGCAGATGTTCTTTAATGGACTTGTAAAAATGCTTTCATTTTTGTAACACAGTGATTTAAGTAGGTTGTCTTCACACTTCCTGTTTTCACAACAGTAAATTTACTTAGTAGATTGTAATTGATATTTCTGAAAGATCACAATAATCCATTTTCCTTCTTAACTTTGAAAGCTGTATTTTACTTAGCGAAAACTTTTTACTGTCCGTTTGGAACATGAGGAGGATCTGGAGGTCTGTCGATATGTACTAATGGATCAAGAATTGTACTGTTGCAATGTTTTACTGTTAGCCGTATTTAAGTCAGTAGATTTGGCTAATCTTACTCTTTTTCTTTCCTGGCAGCCGATTTATTTTGCACATTCCAAGTGAAGAGAGAGACAATGCAATCAGAGTGTGTTTTCAGATTGAACTTGCCCATTGGTTTTATTTGGATTTCTACATGCAAAACACACCAGGATTACCTCAGTGTGGGATAAGAGACTTCGCTAAAGCTGATATCCTTTTTATTACTCTGATTGTTTCCTGTCTGGTGGTAAAGTGCAAACTAAATATTGTTAACAATATTTCATAGTATAATAATGTCAGTTCATGTGTTAATGATTAAAAGTTAGTATTGCTAGGTATGTGATGTTACTGAGTTCACTGCTTCCATAATTTTGTGGCACCCACAAAAGAGATGTTTCTTGGACTGCTAAAGAACTATGGAAAATGATCCATTTCTGATGTTTGAGGATTTTTCTTTGCATTCTAGGTTGGTTTCAAGGGTGAGCTGTTGGTGCTCTTCAAAATGAACTCCACAATTCATTAATTTTCAAGTAACTAGTAACATAAATGTTAAAGTAGTTGAAGGTAGTATGTGTTCTGCCATGGCCAGTGGTATGTATTTGTTGGAAGTTTCTGTAGAGTAGAAACCGCTTTTTACTGAATTCAAATGGTTGGCCTCTGCTTTTTTTGTTGCTTGCAAGGGCTGCTGGAATGTGTACTATCTAGTTCTTGCTAGAGAAAACTTCATGGCTTTCATCCAGCAAACGTTTTAGTTTTAGCCTTGTCCCATATGTTCTTGATCTAAGATTGAAATATTGCTTCTAACTTTGAGGGTAATATTATCCATGCTTTCACTATACAACATATTTATCTGTTAGTTTCCTAATATATATTTACTTTGAAACACTACAGCTTTTAACAGTAAACTGTAAATATATGGTCATATCCTGTTGGTTATGCTGTTATTTTATGTATGTTTTTAATTAAAAATGTATTTTCAGACCAACAAAATTCTCCTAAATTGTAGGCAGTGCAGAAGAAATGCAGTGTAATAGATGTTATATGTTCATTATTATTTCCCTTTCTAGCCCATATTTGCCACAAATATTAGTTCTGCTGCATTGTATTTTTAAGTATTCTACTGTGGAGTGTTTTTTATTGGTAGTATAGTATATGTAATTTGTAATATTAATACTTTGATTAAGGACTTACAGATTTTCTCTCAAAATTTTAGAATTATAGAGGTTGTTTATATTTTCTCAGCATGATGAGTTTTGATAAAGTGTATTAGGATTTAGATTTCTGTAACTATAAGTCATTAAAATGGTTTTTTTGGCATAACAAATACTGAAGATAGGATTCTATGCCATAATCTTAACAAATTATTGTGGCAAAAATGTATTCCCATTTATTTCAAGCACAGGAAACTTGCTTGTGACAGATTTTTTTTCTGTCTTAATCACTTCAAAATTAAAAAAAATGTGTTTGCAAATAATACATATTCAAAATAACTGTTATGGGGTTACTTTTTCAAAATTACCTTCCGTCAAACAATCAGCCTTGTGCGATCTTTTTTGTTTGTTGGGTTTGTTGTTTTTTTTTTTTTTCATTTATTTAGATTGCTTTGTATAGGAATTGCTGAATTACTTGATGCACTCTGACTTTCAGTGTTTGGTAGTGGATTATTTGTAATATTTTTTTACTTCCAAGAGAATCTCTCTTGAAAGGACTTAGGGGAGGGAGTGTTTACTCTAAATATCTTTTATATTTCATATGTACTTTGGAACTGGCTGCTTAAGTTTATCTTCCTTAACAGGCTGCTATACTCTTCAATCACTGTCCCTTTTTACTGCCTCAAGGTGAAGATGTGCAAAAGGTTTTAGATGAGTGGAAAGAATACAAAATGGGAGTGCCAACCTATGGTGCAATTATCCTTGATGAGACACTTGAAAATGTGAGTATGGAAATAGTTGTGAAGGACTGTCTAGAGCGAGGGATGGTGTATGCTGGCAGAAGTAATTCTTTGTTGTTTACATTTTTCTTCTGAAGAAATTTACACTCACTGTCAGATTCGCAGAGATCTGACAGTTAGTTGATATTGGTGGCTGTGTACAGAAATATAATGTGTGAGTCAGTAAACACACTTCTGCATGCTTTCCCTCTGAGATTTTATTTTTTCATCTGAGTTACATGATTCTGTAAAATATTTCACCATTCTTGGTACAACACAGAAAACCTAATGGTTTCCTTCCTTGAGGCTAACATATTCTTTTGAGAACAAGGGGGATGGTGGAGGGAAGACATTTAATGAAATTGGTTAGAACACCTGCATGTTTGACAGTTGCCTTCCCTTGTATTTTGTAGGTTCTTTTGGTTCAGGGCTATTTAGCAAAATCTGGCTGGGGATTTCCAAAAGGGAAAGTAAATAAAGAAGAGGCACCTCATGACTGTGCTGCTAGAGAAGTAAGTTATATCAACTCCTTTAAGATAAAGAAGTGAAATTTTGCTGAAATCAGGATATATGTGTTGGGTTAAAAGGCACTTTACTTAGGTAATCCTGTTACTGAAATTGTGTGAATAAATAGTCTGTTATTGCAGTCATCTTTTGATGCCTTTCTGAGTTCCAAAATGGTAATCAAGGTTGAGGTTATATATTAAAATAAAACCAGAAAATGGTTTGTTTCACATTCTTTTGCACTAATGTGGTAAATGAAGTGAATGAGTACGCTTTTTAAAGTTCTCTGCTGAACTGTGAATTTACATTTAAGTATTACTTGTGGTGCTTGGGAAGTCTTATGTAATTTATGACTTTTGGTGTATTAATTTCAAGGGTCACCATAACTGTGGAGAAATGGGAATTTACCCTGTGTACACTGGTCTGTGTAAAGAGGCTAAAGAGCTGAGTTGGAGGTTGTAGAATGTAATGTAAAAATTGTGCAGAACTTTACTTTTCTATTTTTCAGCTATGCTATTTTTCAGTTATTTTCAGGAACAAGAATCAATATATATTGCAAGTAAAATCTGAAAAATAAAATAATCTGTATTTATTGCTCCTGGAGACCTACATATGTAGTGAAGCTGCATATTCAAAATGGCCTGTAAAAGAACATTACTGGTACAAATTCAGTGTTCATTCAACTTAATACATCCAGAGTTTTTGAGAGAGAGAAAGATGAGGGAAAGTAGTATGATGCATTTAGTGTTCTTCAATTTGACTGAATCAGTATCTGAGAAATCACAGGGTTTTGGGGATTTTTTTTTGTTTTAAGTATAACTATCAAGGATAAACTAGACGGCTTCTTCAAGAAGGAGCTGCATGAAGTGTATCTTCCTCTTCACTTCAAGTTATGCCAGCAAACACATTAAAGGGGCACAGTTACACTGGGGGAAAAGATATTTTGATGATGTTGTTAATCTGAAAAATCTATTTAGATTTCATTAGTGATCAGCACTATTACCATCATTATTCTGATAGGTTAGATTGTCATTGTGGATAGACTAACAATTTATTTTATATCTGAAATAAATCTTTCAACTTCTTTCACTTGAGTCAGGACAGATCTGAAATCATAAGCTGCATCTCTGTAAAATCAAATTGAAGAGGTCTTCACTTGGCAGTGCCTACAGAGTTCAGTAGTACCTCAGAAGTTGCTGAGGACTAACCCCATCCATATTAATAAATTGCTACTTGAAGGTGTAATAGAAATTGTCTCAACTTTTAACAGGTGTAACAGGTTTGCAGTTTCAGAGAAATTTAAAGCATGTAGATTCTTTTTCTATTTCTGAGCAAACCTCTATATGTAAAGACTTGTTTTTCCCGGCAACTTTCATGAATATATCTGAAAAATAGTCATTCCTTTGCTTGGGGTAATAGGTTGTGTAAAGGATAACTCTGAATACACGCACACTAATTTCATCTAAATACTTCTCAGGTGTTTGAAGAAACTGGGTTTGACATAAAAGATTATATCTGCAAAGAGGACTACATTGAGCTGCGAATCAATGATCAGTTAGCACGGCTGTACATCATTCCTGGAGTTCCCAAGAACACCAAATTCAACCCCAAAACTAGAAGGGAAATTCGGGTATGTGCTACCTTGTCTGAATCTGTAGGAACTTTGCAGAAGTTGCTTTTTAAAGCCAGAAGTGTGTAAAATAATGAACCCACTAAACACAATGAGCACCTTAAGTGCTAGGTACCAGTGGCATCTCTGCACTGTAGGATTTTGTGTTGACTTCTTTCAGCTCAACTGCAAGTCTGATATTTGAACATCTGTCTGACATCTCCATTCATCATGAAAAGACAATAGAGCATGCTGCTAAAATACAATTCTTGTCTTCTGTAGGTGGTATATATATTAATAATTTCATATTATTCCTAGTTACGGATGCAAATGTAGCTATGCATTCTCAAGTTGTAATTATTAGTTGGGGACATGCAAAAGCCTACATATCAAAAGGACAAACTAAGGATTGTTTTCTTTTTTTCATGTCTAATACTTTCAGATTTAAAAAATAGTCTATTTTAAGGAGGAAGTTGGGAAGGGGGCAGAAAAAGGGAACTATTTTGGATGTACCATTGTGTGCTTTTAAAAGGTATTGTGAAAGCCAAAGACCAAGGCTCCGATAGCAACTTGTTGGAACCTTTGTCAGTGGTATCTGTAATCTTTGAAGTTTGATTTTTTTTTTCCCTTTATGACAGTTCAGTTCAAAACAGCTATATTTCCATGCAGACTGTGTCACTAAATGGGGCATCTTGCTTTCTAAATAAAGAAATTTGAGTGGACAGGACTTAATTTCTTGCATTTGAGACCTCTTTTTTTTTAAATATGACATAAGATGAAATTTGAGGTTTTTTAAAAATATACAATAAATATGGTACTTTGTAGAACAGTGACCAAATGTGTGGGAATGTTGAAGAGTTCTTGCAATGACAGAGTTTTGAAGTTTTGTCTTCATCTGATCTAATGCCACCGGGCAGGCTAGTTTTATACTCCCTGTAGAACTATATTGAAGACTTGTTCGGTTTGTAACTTATTTCCATAATTTGCATCTTGTTTGGACCTGAGGCTTTCTGAGTAGATTCTATGATGGCAAATCTCATGTGGGTTCTTCTATGCTGTCTGTGGTCAGAATTCCTGACTTTGTTCCCCATTCTGCTAAGTATATATAGTTTTAACTATTAAAACTGTAACATATAGTTATAGTTTTAATAGTTAAACACAATAACACAAATCCTTATCCTATCGCCATGTTTCTTTTTCTTTTGTAACAAAACCTGAAACTTTACTGTCAAGCTAAACACCCTTCTTATTTTTGAATGGGTATTGGTGGTCCAGTATTGATCACACTTTAAGTTAAAAGTTTTTGAAAGTTATTCAAAGCCTGTACATTTATTTATGGCATTCTGTGTGCAGTGGTTTGGTTGGTTTGTTTATGACACTCTTATTCAGACTTTAGTTGCTGATCAATACCTTTCATATTTTAGGTGCGATACAATGCAATTTTGTGCTTTACCATCTGCTACTGTAGTGGCAGTTGGAAGAGTTAATTAACCTTTTGTGAAAAACGCTGTTGTGGCCTGTTAATTTAAGTTTTCCATGGTAATTTTTTAATTAAGAGAAATAATTGTGGCTGATACACATTTGTAAAATTCTGCTATGGCTACAATAGAGGGTATTTTGATTTTATTTCTTGTTTTTCTAGAATATTGAGTGGTTTTCCATTGACAAATTACCATGCCACAGAAATGACATGACTCCAAAGTCCAAGCTGGGTTTGGCACCTAACAAATTTTTTATGGCGATTCCCTTCATCAGGTATGTTTGAGATGAGGCAAATGCTGGGCCAGGGTCTTTCAGACAGTTTTAAATTCTTTAGATTTGTTTTGGTAAGTAGATCTTGTTGTACTACTCCTTGCTCACAGGCCATTGAGGGAATGGATTTCCCGAAGGAATGGAGATTCCTCAGACAGTGACAATGGTTTTTCATCTGCAGGGAGCACACCCTCTAAGCCCAACTTGGAAAAAGCTAGGTAAGAACCAGGTCAGTTTAACATCTCTATATTCTTTCTTACAAAACACTGGTCATACAAATATGACAATATTATACAATGACAATTATATACATATATAAATTGTCCTTTTTCTCCAAGGATTTGTGTTTGAGTAACAGCTAAATAACAGAAAAATGAACATAGATGTATATCGTAGACTTGTAAGTAAGGTGTAAAGTTAATTAATGTGTTGATACACAGGTGTCAGAACTGGGATTATTTCCTCAGTCTTCTTTGTGGGAATCAAAAAAACCCAGAAGCTTAAGCAAGTAGATAACTTCCAGTGCTTCAACTTCAATATTTTTGGCCTTTCTGCACAGGAAAAGTAGGACTCCCCAAAGCAGGACTGTAAAGTAGTCTAAGAAGTGCTAGATAAAACCAGTAGGGGAACATGTCCTGCTGGCTTTAGATTCAGCTGAGTGAAAAGTGGTAGAGCAAATGTTGAAACCTGTAGTCCCTATGAGAGGACTTAATAATTTGAGCCAGGGCAACACCAACACTGAGAACAACAGGACAAATGTTAATGTAGACTTGGCCTCTTGTCTGTGGAGAATGCTAATGGCAGTGAGCACTATTAGAGTTTCCATACAGGTTACTTAAGATTGTCTTCCACATTGTTCTCAGTAACTTTTTTCATATTTGTCTTCTGCTCTCAGTAGATTTGAAGTTGTGTTGTAACCTGTCTTTGTTTTCCTGTACTAGATCCAAACTTCGCTGTAGTCAACAGGTGTTTACAGATGGCTTTTCAGGAGAGCACTTGGTGAAGCCAAAACAGCAACAGAAGCCATATAATCATCCTGAGGTGTCTGAAGTTTTGAAAGTAAAGGTAGGTTGTTTGTTAGGCAAGCATATACATCTGGACTATTTAAAACAGATGTCTTTGTTCATAAAGGTTTCCTCTCTAGGACAAAACCAGTGAATTTCATCTCCAGAGAATTCAAAATTAGAGTGGGGGAATATTCTTGGGAATTTTTTGATTTATCTCACACTAGAGGTGGTGGTATCAGCAATTGTGGTGTTTCATGTACAGATAGTAATTAGTCCTTGCCATTTTGCTAGTATCTCTAGTATATCTGCATCAGTGCATGGAAATTCACTGAACTCAATTAATTGTGAAATAATTCTCTCATACTGAGTGCAAGAGGGAATGAGTAACAGTTGACGGCTCTGTAGCTTGAGTGTATATTTGGTTAATTTCAGTGGGCTTCAGTTTTTCTGCAAAAGAAAGTGTTTACATGTTTTGAAGTTACTTGGAGGGAAGTTTTAGTTACTAAGTAGGAAATGTCAATGCAATTATGTCCAATTCTGCCATTTAAACTCTTCCCTCTACTTGTTTTGAACTGAACAGCAGAGTCAGAGTGTGAGGAACAATGGCAGAAAGCAAAATCAAGACACTTCCAGCCAAAAGAAGCGAACAAATGGGCTGCACAGTCAACCAGTTAAGCAAAACCATACCTTGGTAAGAAACATGTAGTGTCTGTGTCTGTAGTAGGTTCCAGTAATGCTTAACAAATGGCCAGGGCAATGTCCTGCTGAAACAAAGTAAAGTGCCTATCTATCAAGAGTATGTTTGGTCAGAGTATTTGATCCATGTTTGCAGATGTGTAACATTTCTTACCTTGTATGCATATACATCTATAAACAAACATACTAAATTTCAAAGTTTGCATTTTAGAAGTAATTTTAGCTGTTGAAAATTTGTCAGCTGTTTCAGTACACAATCCTGCAGCTTTCCAGGTTCCTGTCATGTAAAAGCCTTCTGTGATGTGTACACATCTTATTTATTCATGTGTGATGTCTTACTGTAAGCATGGGGTTTTGTTATGAAGCACTTAGAAAGTGGTGATATAAATACTTATTATTTCCCTTCTCTCCAGGAAGAAATGTTGAGACACAGACTTGGCTTGGATGCCAGAATCTCATATAGTTTTTCAATCATACAGTACAGCTGGTTACAGCAGTTTGTAAATTCCAGTGTCACACTGTGTTTTACGTTCCCTTGCAGTTACTAGTTGTGTTTGTCCAGTTCTCAGTGGGAACTGACTCACTGGGCTATGCTCTCTCTTATAGTGGAATGTGCTTTTGATTCCCTGTTTTTTGTGGCTCTTCAGTATACTTTGTTGACTCTTGTGCATCTGTGAGCCCCCAGATCTCTGTGCAGCTCAGCTGACTTGTCCAGACTTTAGTTTCTCTTGTTTACAGGCTTTAAGCTAGATTCTTCCCATTCTGGCTTGGGGTTATTGCCTTCTTTCTCTTACTCATGTAAACATACAGAAATGGTAAACTTGTCCTAAAATCCTTACTGCAGCAAGAAGTTATTAGTTATGTTTGAGTCTGAGTGTCGAAGAGTGAATTGACTGCCCAGAAATTTAGATGAATAGTAAAACTGTAATGGTAATCTGTAAGATCTTCGTGGAAATAACTGTTAATGCTCCACAGTTGCTTTACAGGCTTTTCACAAACTTTTCTGAGTATTTCTCTTTTCCTGTTTCACTTGTGTTTTCATGATGGTCAGTCTTTTGAAGTTTAAATATTTTGAGTCCAGTGATAATTTTCTGATGTAAATTGAAGGCCAGGAAACTTCTAATTTGCAGACAGTCCAAAGAGCCATATTTTTTTTGTATTTGTGTACTTAGAGCACCAATATCTGGGGTTAAAGCAGTTCCTCCCTGGAGAGTTTTGAGTTTGTGTCTCTAAAGCATGTTAATTTAATTGGCAGTAGCAGCATGTCTGCAAATACATTGCCCTTGCCTCTTTTGGGACAAACTCATTGAAGAGCGGGCTTATGCATGCACAATGTTGATTACACACCATCATATGCAAGACCTTTCTGTCTTAAAACAGTTAGAAAGTATTCAAAATTTTCCTCCAAAAGTCTGCATGTTAGAAATGTTTTAGTGACTGTTAAAAGGTTGCATGATTCTGAAAGACTTGTGGATTTAAAGGATGTTTGCTACATCAAGTAATGTGACAGAACTAACGATGAGTTAGAGGTAAAATAATTCAGACATGAAGTGTGTCAAAGCAAACTAGCATGCCTGTTAGATGATGCTTAAATATAATGCCATTTCTTTATCAAAAATGTGTAATGTATGGTCATTCTCTTCACCAGAAATGTGAAAAAAGGCTTAATCCAAGAAGACTTCAAGATAACTTTGAAACAGGCAAGTGCAGTCAGAATTTTCATCCACTGTTCTGTACTACAGGCTGAAGGCACCTGAATAATGATGGTTGAGGGCTTTTCCTCATGCCAGCCTTCCAAATCTTATAAAGCCATTTTTCCAAGGTAGTCTGAGGTTTTGTTTGTTTTTTAATGAAAAATATACTGTTTCATGTTGGTCTTTGATACACCAGGTGGCTGAGTGAAAAAGTAACTAAAAGCTAGTTTAGAAAAATAGCATCTGAGTCAGCACATTGCTGGTAATTGAGTGTATTTTAAGGCTTTCTGTCCCGCTTGTAATAAGCTGCAGCAGAGTGCACACAGTTCTTTACTTACAGCTCAGGAAACAGTGCCATGCCATTTCTCCTTGTTAAGAAATGGCTATTGAGAAATGAAACAGTATTATATGTGTAAAATAGGTGTATATGTGGCTATTGAAAGTGTTTCCAGATTGCAGTGAATTTGAAGATTTATTCTACCCTCTAGACAACCTGTAAATATGGCTGGTTTGAGTTACCTTCTTCTGTTTATGACCAAACATACAGGTTTTCTTATAAATATTAATTGAAAGTATTTTGAGGTATGGCTTTTTACCATTGTTGTTATAGATACTTTTATTGGCAACTGCCCATTTAAAATTTGTTTCATACTTTTTTCTCTTTAAGCAGAAGCAGCATACGAGATGTGTTGCTCCAGTGAAGACATGCTGCCAGAACATGTAGATGGACATTCTATGGCATGCAATGGCCATTACAAATTTGTTTTTTCATCAAGAGCTTTCTTGAGTTTCAAGTTTGACCATGATGCCATAATGAAAAGTTTTGACCTCTGACAGCAAACGTATTAGGAATAAGAATCAGACTTGCCTGTTGCAATTGAGGAGGTTTCTTATCCAGCCTTACTCTTTCTCAGGAGTTTTTTATTTTGTTTTGTTTGTTTGTTTTTAAATGCAATGCAGGGACTGACTGCTGGTTTGGAAGGGTTTGTTCTCTTTGCAGTATGGGAGTGGCATAGTCAAGTGTTGCACTTTAAATGCAGTCTAGCCTTTGTCCACAAAAGTACCTTTCCAATGTTCAGTTCACTTGTTCCTAGCTGTGCATTAGAGGGCATTCTTTTTACTTGTGTTTTATTTTTTTGTGGTTTAAAATTTTTTTTTATGGTAACTTGCCGTGTGTTTTGTAGAATGTCACTGACTTTTTTTTAACCATTGGAGTATACCAGCTTGCTAACGTTGTAACTGTTCTGATGTAAATTATTTGACTTGTTTGTCATTATTTTGTAGAACATTGCAATATTACGCAGTGGCAATGTAACTAATTCTCAGAGGACACTTCTGTCCTAGTGATTTTGAAACCAAGTTGCACATTTCAAACCTAGTCTCAGCCTGTCATCCTTTCTCTGTACTGATTGTTTGCCCCAAATACCTTCCCTCCTTCACACTGATAGTTTTTGCTGGCTGGCAATCACTAGTACTTGAGTCAAATCTATAGCATGTTGACTTTTTGTACCTACTTTTCCTTGGTCTTTGATAATGACACTCAAACTGGGTAAAACTCAGCCCTTCAAAGTGTCTAACTTAGCTCTTGTGCACTGCCCACAGCTGCATAAGAAGTTACAAAGCAGCTGCTTGTGAAAAAAGAGAAGCTTAAACTTGTCTGTGAGAGGTAACTTGTGTACAATTTATACTGAATGTAAATAAGCCTCTGTAGATCTCTCTGAGTAGGAAGGCAGGTGCATGGGTAACAGAGGCATTGTGTGACACTGAACAGCTTAATCAGGCTTCCAATAACTATTCCAAGGGTGTTCAGTATTGTATCCTGTGCTGTTGTCCTCAGATCTCTTGTGTAGTGTATCTGCTCTGTATATATCCAGTAGTATTGAATTGCACTTGCAGTTAGCATTTAAATGATCTAGCCTCAGTCATTTTCAGCTACAGTGCTTTCTTAGAAAAAAACATGAAAGATGGCGTGGGGATGGAGGGGTGGAACAAAAAACCTGTAAGAGTTGGGGTGATGAGCTGTTACATCACCTGCAGGTTCAGTGGGTTTTGAGCATCTGTGTTGCAGTGGAGAGAAATGCACTGAAATAATTTGTCACAGCAGCTTGTGATAGCAAGCATGTCCCAGATTTAAAAATGGACTTTTCTCTAGAATAGAGGTAATTGATAACTTGATAGGTTGAATGAAATACACCCTTGTAGTGTATCTACATGCACTGAGTTTTTATGCAACTCATATATGTCATCCAAAACCAAAATCCTGGTCTTCCTTCAACCACCCTACTTCATATACCCTACCTAGTGTTTTCCTCAGAAATAGCTTTAGAACTTTCTCCTGGTTTATTCACCTGCCTGGCACCAGGTGATTTGGAACTCTAATGCTGTAATAATTTTGGCCATGGGAGTGTTCAACTTCTGTATCAGTCAACAGGAGAAATGGACTACAGCATTTCCTCCTTCTGGAGGACAAGAGTTCTGAGGGCCTTGTTTTTCAAGACCAAATTGTGAAATAGCTCAATCTAGCTTTGACTCACTTTTTTTTCTTTTTGTTTTTTCTTAAACGTATCCAAAGGCCATACAATGACAAAGAAGAGTAATTGAGGATAGGATAATGCTGGAGGAGTTATGTTATTCAGCTTCAGGTGAAAACTAATCTTTAGTTACTTCTTTGTGCTATTTTAGTTGATTTCCCAGCAAAAGTGCCTTTACTCATGGTGAGGCAGAAGTTTGTATCATATCCTGAGGCTGCTACTGCCTGTGGAGCTAATAGGACTCTCCTAAGGCATAATTAAATAACAGGCTGTGGAAATCTTTTTATAAATAAGTTGACTTTTCAGATAAATTAGTTATAGATAGTGCTCTGTAAAATAATGGGGATGTTGATGAAACAGTGAACTTGGAGCATCTGTCATCTGTTTGGGAAGTCCTGTCCCAGGCAAGAGGAAGTCTTTAGAACAATGGAAGCATGTTCTATGAATAAGAGATGCTGGCTGCCCTCTGTTTACTGTGTAATTTTTTTCTTCTTAGTGAAAGGTTGGTTCAGTATAAGAGACATTGGTTGCTTCATTAAGCAACCCAAAGTGAAGCTTATACATATGTCATTCATTTTAGTAAACCTAGCCTTAATGTGAGTTGCAAATAAATGTGATAAATATGCAATAACTTACTTCTTTGTATAAGGGTACAGTTTCCTGTAGTAGCATTGCTTTCTGCTTTCTTAGTAAGGTTTATCCTAAAACTATGTAAATGTGGTGGCATGTGATCCACTTGGTGGGCTCCGCCATGCCCTGCACCGTGAACATTTTGTTTACTGTTGTTTATGTTCTTATTTCACCATCCCTTTATAATTGTATTTCTCAGTTTAGAAGTACTGTTTACATTATCTTCCATAAAACAGTGAAGAAATAGCAAGTGAGATACAGGCTTTAGTTCTGTGAGTTTTTACTGTACAGGAGCTAGACACAGGGAAATAGGAACTGTTTGCATGTCCGACTTGAGAGTTGGTGTTGAGATACTTGAAAAACAAACACTGTCAATTTGAGAATGCTGCCATGTTAGGAGTTATTCACATAATGAACGGTCAATCAGTGTTCTTGGAATCAACTTGCAGAGTGAACAAATATTTAGCAAAAAACCCTACAGCTGTGTGGTGCTAGGAATCTGGTACTAGTGTGCAGTTCCTAGTACTACATCAACTCCCTGCTTTAACATGAGGTTTTTAGCATGTCTCCTCAGAGTGCTTCTATACTTTGACCTTGGACTGAAGAGTGGCCTGCCCAGTTAGTTAAGTGGCTGAAGTGCTGCTGACTTCAGCTCCTTGACGTACATCCATCATCCGGCTTTTGAAAGTAACTGTGTCTTGCATAGTATGAAGTCTGACAACAGTGGTTCTGGGGAGGAGAGGGGGAAATAGCTTTATTTATTGTACAATCAGAGTATTATTTTTTAACACAATATAAATACTTTAGGCCAAACATGCATAAAGTGTTTCTAATGAAATTTTGAGCCTGATCACTGTTCCAGGCTTCTGTGCTGTGCTTCAACCTTCCTGAACTAATTTGGTGATTTGAGAACAACTTAGTGATTTTTTTTCACCTACCTGTGGCAGTTACAGATGTAACAGTTCCTTTTAAAAACAAGGCAGGCTTCGGGTCTGGCTACTTCTAACATACTTGCTCTCAGATTGTAATTTCAGATAAGAACGCAGTTCTTCCAACCTTTACTTAATGTGGTGATTTGCTTTTGCACTCATGCCATTGTGGTGTGAAGAGCAAAGAGTCTACATTAAGAATCCAAACTCCACTATCCTGTGGTGCAAGACAGCACTGCTGCTCCGGGGATAACTGGCTGCCCAGTTGTGGGGTTAGTGGGCTGCTTAATCCTCAGATACTTGGGGTTTTGTTACAAATTCTGAGCAACAGGTTTCTTTTTCAGAGGTAAAGCCAGGTGCCTTCATGTTTGAAGTTAGGAGGTTATATTCTAAATGTGTTAGTAAGCTCATAGTTATTGAGAATTAGTAGATAGTGTCTCTTGTTGATACTGATTTCTGTAAATAAATATATTTTAAGTCTTGCACTGTAAATGTTAAATAATCTGGTGCTTATACACAACTTCATAATTTCAAATTGTTTTTGTTATTACAATATTTCACCTTTTGAAACAACCAAAATTATTTAAGATATGGAAAATTTATACAAAATAACTCTGAAGGTGCTTTTACAGTAAATTAGACTTAGAAATTCTTCCATAATAAGTTTTTGTTCATATACATTTATAGCAATAGTGTAGTCAAGAATGGAAGTAGGCTATATGCTAGTATTTGCACTGTTCTTAATCCCATACGTAAGCACTGATAGATGCAGTAGGTTTTGTGCTGTGTGTGCATTTCACTTTTTCATGTAGCTTGTGAACTTAAAAGGAAGTCAACATTAAACAAGAATGACATTGGCCATATTCAAGATTGTACCAGAGGAACTATTCCAGATTGGTAGCAGTACAATAAAACAAAATACTTGGGGTTTGTCTTTCCATTGAAAATGTTAGGTTTAGCAAGACTTAACTTTATGTACAGATTCAGCTTTACAGAAACCCTTATCTTTAAAGTGTTCTGAGCTCTGGCTGCTTTTGGGAAGTCAAAAGTATCTTTGAGTCCTCCATCAGTTCTTCTGGGGAAAAAAAAATGCTTCCTTTTAAGTAATTGTTAACATTTCAGAGAGTACAGAATGTTTAAATTTGGAAAGTAATGAAAACAGAGTATTTTGTAATTTCTAAGCATTTATACTGTTGATCAGAAGAACTAGCTTCTTGTTTCCAGTATGGGTTGCAGTTCAGTGCCTTTAAGAAAATGATTACAGCTTGTGGAGCATTAATCATTTTAAAATAAGGCATTCATAGCTTTTTAAGAAAACACATCCTGCAAACACAGTTCTCTATGACACATTTCCAATAGTGAGAAGAACTTTGCAAATTTTTTTAAGCATGTTTGATCAAAATTACTAAACTGTGGGAATGAAATTTGTATCTTACTGGTTGGGTACATAATTTTGTTATGCAGAAAATGTATGGAAAACTGCATGATAAAGAGCTCTCAGCAAATACTTCTCACGCCAATACTTGCAACAGAACTTTACTCTGTCTGCATGGCACTGCACTATGTGGAAGTTTAACTTTATCCCTGAGGAGCAGTTGAGCTGGGTTTGCAAGGCACTTTTACCATTAAAAAGCAAAACAGACCCCCCCCAGAAGAAGGTGCGGGGTTGTTAGTTCAGCAGAATGCTCTATTGGTGTTCATGTTCCAGGACCCAGACTTGGGTATTGCTTCCAAACGATGACACTCTTCAGGGCAGCACTGCATGCCTTGCAGAAACAGGAGCCAGTGCTTTGTGGTGTGGCTCAGGCATGAAGGGTTATGTCTTCCTTCTGTTTGTTAAAGCTCAAGAACTCGATCTGTTTTCCTCTGTGTGTAAGTGGCACATTGTGCTCATTAAGAAGAAAATATGTACAGCTAAAGAGTTAAAATCATTACAGATTTTATACAACTTCCATTATGTTCTTTTGAAGAAAGTTTGCATTAGTCAGCTCTTCAGTTGTAATAAGTAGAATCTGTAACTACCTGTAACATCTACTGTACTGATGATTGTGAATTTGTTTGTTATAAATTGATTCAAAACTGAAGCACACCATTTAGAAGACTAAGTTAACATTTTCTTCTATATTGTTATTTTTTCCTCTGTAAAATTAAATTGCTTTATAAATAAACGTATTGAAGTACGGAAGTATGAATATAAGGATTGCAGTTCATTGTGGAATGTGATGCCTCTGCTGCTGGTACAGGTTATTCTTTCACTGTAGAGTGTTCACGTGTTGCCTTAAACCAGCAGTAATTATATCTCCTCTAGCCAGGAGAGGAAGTTATTTTTTTAAGTCAGCTGTAAAGGTGAATGCCATTCAACACAATGGAAAAAAAATAAAATGTGTTAGACGAACAGAAGAAAGAAGTATTTAAACTTCAATCAGTGCTTTTAGATATTTTATGTAACATTTTCTTTTTGTTTTGGTCTATATAACTTGTTATTAAAAGAATTGGACGCGTGGTAACAGTTTCACGCATGCCCTTCCATTTCCATAAATGGTTCGTTGAAGATGTACTAAAATGATGTTCTAAAACCTGTGGCCATATCTGAGTTCTTTACAACTTTTCACGGCTCTGTTAAGTGAACTTCACTGACAATGTCAAACCATCTCCCTCAGTAACTTAGCTTGCAGATGAGATATCTTTGGGCCAAGGTGTCTTTAGGCAGTCCCATTCAACAGCAAGGTGACAAGCCATAGTGAAACAACTCCCAAGGCAAAGAAACAGCATTAGAAATTTATTCAGAATATAAGAACATTTGTAAAATAAGTATTATAAATGCCTCTGTATAAATAAATGCAGTTTTTACAATTCTCTATCAAATGAACACAAAATAGCTATTTTACAGCTGCTTGGAAACGAAAAGGTAGCAACACATTTCAAGCTAACTCAGTAAGGTGAAAAGTTTCTAAAGTTACAATTCATGGTGCAGTATACTGGAGGAAAAGAAAACTAACAAAACCAGTAGAACATGACATGAATGCAAACTTAGTCACGTGTGCTTTACAAAAGCTAACAGTACATTCAAACTGGTGAAGATTTATACATAGAATTAGAAAAAAAGTGATTTTTTTCTAAGCACTCAGTGAAATACAAAAGTTTCATGCACTCTGGTGACTTAAGAAAATCAAAAAATGTCCAGTCATTAATTCATGAATGGACTAGGTTGGCAGGAATCACCTTTTTTTCTTGCTCTGCAAATTTATTATTTCTGCAACAAGCTTTAAGAGAGTTAAGTTGCTGTAACTGTGTGCACTACACACTCAGGTATTTCTGTGCTGGTACTTCAGAGTTGCATAAAAGGAGTTTGAGGTTTTTTTGGCATTTTTTCTGAGGGTTGGTGCCATTTGAATGGGGTACACTGGAGCTGAAGCTGATTATCACTAATGAACAGTTTTCACAGTAACATTAAGCCTGTGACCATTCCCAGCTGATCCTTTCCAGTATTCTAACAAATGATGCAGTAGCTGCTTGCTGAGGCAAATAAATCAACTGGTGGTCTGGCAAACTCTGGCTACTGCTGAGGCTAGATGGTACCAGTGCTGCTTTTTAATCTACAACCCTTATGGGGAAAAATGGGACTGGTTTACATTTACTGATGATTTATAATTCTAATGCACTTCTAGAGCACAGCTGGCACAGATGATTTGTGCTAAATGTAGTGAAATAATCAGCAAATTGTCAGGCCTGGAAAAAACACTGAGGCTGCAGCTTCTGTGTAAGAGTATCTGAATTTCTTATGGAAGAAACTCTTCTAAGTGTGAGGGCACTGAAGCACTGGCCCAGGTTGTGCAGAGGAGTTATGGCTGCCCCATCCCTGGAATGTCCAAGGCCAGGTTGGATGGTGCTTGGAACAACCTGGTCCAGTGGAAGATGTCCCTGCCCACAGAAAGGGACTGTAACAAGATGATTTTTAGGGTCCCTTCCAACCCAAACCATTCTGTAATTCCATTAAACTAAACAGGGGGAAAAATGAGCCTAAGAGGCAGCTCAGAGCAGTATGGTTCCTGTCCTCTCCAGTGAAAAGTATTTCACATGGACATTCTGAGGTGACCTCAAGTCACACGGGTGTTTCAGATGCTGGAAGACAAAAGTATAACTACATTTTTTCCACAGCATATGGTGGATACTTTCCTTTGTGGTTCTTCAGTACAAGTGTGCTGAGCTGCTGAAGCTGATGGCAGACCCCCACCCTCCTGGAAGTGAGAAAATTGGGCCTAAAAAGGGGAAGCACCATAGAAAGCTGCTAAGCAGAACCACAGAGACAGAAAAAATCAATGTGCCTCCTCCCTCAAGAGACTCATTTGCAATAATTTCTAGTTATATTATAAATTAAGAAGTGCAATTATTCTGAGAAAGAAGATTGATCAAAACCAGAACATCACTACCTAAAAATTTTGAAATCATCATTGTTTTAATTTGCTGTTGCAACCAACCACATGTGATGCTGGCTTTGTGGATGATATACTAGACTCCAGAGAAGTAGGAACAACTACTCTAATGACAGAGGACAACAGCAGCTACAGCAGTAAGAGATGGAAAACCAACTGCTGCACTTCCAGATGTAACCAAGACTTAACAATAATGCCATATTCTGAACACAAATTCCTGCAACTATGTTGTCTGACCTAACCCAACAGTAGGCAGAGTCCTCTCAAATATTTTCTTAGTACTAGTAATGGGAGAAATAAATGAGAAAAGTTATCATAATTCTAAATACACTAGTAAAAAACTTGAGGTGCAACTCAACATGTAAAGCAAAAACGATAAACATCTCCCGAAATCAGATTCACTTAAAATCAGCCTGGAAAATGCAAAGCAGAGGCATAACACAGCAGCAGGCTAACACAGTGAAGGGACTATAGCTTGGCTTTTTAAAACACACATAAAGCTTTTTTACGTACTCTGTCAAAAAAAAAAAAAAAAAAAAGCAAATTCTGAATATAACAGGTGCTATGGCAGACTCCTGTATTTTGACCCCTACAGAAATCAACCTGATCCCCATGATTTGCTTAATGTTCTTTTACCTAACAAGCCAAAATTTGCACTTCAGACAGTTTGATAATACAGTAATACATGATTTAAACAAGAGAATGTTAGCAGTAACAAAAACTAACCTAAGAAAGCTGTAAGACTTCACCATTCACATTCAGTTTGTGGCTGGATATCCATATATCTACACATCTATAATTTTGTGCCTATGTATTCAATATTAAACAGGTACATTATTTAAGTACCTTTTTTGGTCAAAAAAAAAGGATAAAAAGAAGACATTCTACCTCTTGATCACAGTAAGCTGTAATAAGCACAATACACATGACAGAAATGGCCCAGCTTCTTAAAGAAAACCTTGGATATAGTGTATATAGCAAGAAAAAACTTCTTCTACAAAGTAGTTGCAAACACCATGCAATATAAATAACAGGAGGTCTTCTGTAATTTCTTACCCACCCTTGGCACAGAGTGTCTGTGTGGCATGGTGAAACCCACAGCCTTTGGCCCTTGTATGCACTGTAAGAATTACACTTTTATCATAGTTCTCAGAGATGCAACTATGCTTGCTTTGGTTTTTTTTCCCAAATCAACAGGAGCTTTCCTACCTGACCTGCACTGTGAGCAGCAGAATTGCAAGCAGGGCGCAAAGAAAAAGCCAGCCAGGCTGTCACCCCCACTCTGCAGCTGCCTGTTTGTGGTGTAACCACAGCAGCGAGTCATGAGGGTACAGTGTGGACTTGTGTGCAGACAGCTCAGGGACTGGGAAAACTTCACATGATCTCCAAACTACCCAAATGAAACCTCTTAACATGAATTATTCTGCTGTGTGACACTGTCACCCATGGGTGACAGGGGAAGAGAAGCTGTATGAATACAGACATAACAACACAGACAATGTACACAATTATAGCATGATAATTCAGGCACTGCCATTTTACATTATGAAACAGTCCTTAAGGTTAACACTTTTATTATCCCCATGATACCTCTCTGGGATCCCAGAGAAGGAGCTTTTAAGTTTTGTCAGCATTGACAATCAGAGCGCTTTTAACATTTGAAGCTACCTAAAAGTCAACCTCCAAAAGAAAGAAAGTTGTAATGGCACTA